CTACTTCATAACTGTCATTTTGCTTCTGTTGTGAATCGCAATGTAAATATCTGAGATGCAGGATTTATTTTCATTCACTGGGTCAAATTGGGCACAAATACCTGATACATCCAAATTTGAATACTGGTAGGGTTGCGAGGAGGGGGGGGGGGATAGTTTTGTCATTTGGGAGTTGTAGTTGCTTGATTTATAGGTCACCTCTAATCAAATTTATTATTTATTTATTTCGTATACTTCTACCCCGCCCTTCTCAACCCCCGAGGGGGGACTCAGGGCGGCTTACAAAAAGGCACATCTTGGTGCCTGCACAAATACAATAACATATAAAACCAGCAATTAAATGGTCAACAATTAAAAACAATTAAAACAACAATATATCACACAATCAATAGCCAATCTCAGACACAGCGTTCGCCACTCAGAGTTCATATTTCGTTCCACCTTGTCCAGTTCCTATCCATCGTCACAGTCCCTTATTCATCTGCCAGATTGCCCAAAGCCTGGTCCCACATCCATGTTTTTAATTTTTTCTGAAGGAAAGGAGGGATGTTGCTGATCTGATCTCCCCGGGGAGTGAATTCCATAGGTGAGGGGCCACCACTGAGAAGGCCTGCTCCTTGTCCCCGCCAATCTCACTTGTGACAGAGGCGGGGTCGAGAGCAAGGCCTCCCCAGAGGATCTCAGACTCCGTCCTGGGCTCAGTCCTGTTCAAGATCTTTATAAACGACTTAGATGAAGTCTTAAAAGGCATGGTCAACTAGTTTGCAGACAACACCAAATTGGGAGGGATAGCCAATACTCCAGAGGACAGGAGCAGAATTCAAAACGATCTTGACAGATTAGAGAGATGGGCCAAAACTAACAAAATGAAGTTCAACGAGGACAAATGCAAGATACTCCACTTTGGCAGGAAAAACTAAATGCAAAGATACAGAATGGGGGACAATGCCTGGCTCAAAAGCAGTATGTGTGAAAAAGATCTTGGAGTCCTCGTGGACAACAAGTTAAACATGAGCCAGGAATGAGATGTGGCGGCAAAAAAAGCCAATGGGATTTTGGCCTGCATCAATAGGAGTTTAGTGTCTAGATCCAGGGAAGTCATGCTACCCGCTCTATTCTGCTTTGGTTAGACCACACCTGGAATATTGTGTCCAATTCTGGGCACCACAATTCAAGAGAGAGATTGACAAGCTGGAATGTGTCTAGAGGAGGGCGACTAAAATGATCAAGGGTCTGGAGAACAAGCCCTATGAGGAGCGGCTTAAGGAGCTGGGCATGTTTAGCCTGAAGAAGAGAAGGCTGAGAGGAGATATGATAGCCATGTATAAATATGTGAGAGAAGTCACAGGGAGGAGGGAGCAAGCTTGTTTCCTGCTTCCCTGGAGACTAGGACGCATTGGAACAATGGCTTCAAACTACAAGAAAGGAGATTCCACCTGAAGATGAGGAAGAACTTCCTGACTGTGAGAGCCGTTCAGCAGTGGAACTCTCTGCCCCCGGAGTGTGGTGGAGGCTCCTTCTTTGGAAGCTTTTAAACAGAGGCTGGATGGCCATCTGTCAGGGGTGATTTGAATGCAATATTCCTGCTTCTTGGCAGAATGGGGTTGGACTGGATGGCCCAAGAGGTCTCTTCCAACTCTCATCTATGATTCTATGGATAATCTGAACTCCACCAATGACTGAATTGAACCAAACTTGGCACACAGAACTCCCATGAACCAACAGAAAATACTGGAAGGGTTGGTGGGCAGAGTTGTAGTTCACCTACATCCAGGGAGCAATGTGGACTCAAACAATGATGGATCTGGACCAAACTTGGCACAAATACTCAATATGCCCAAATGTGAACACTGGTGAAGTTTGGGGAAAATAGACATTGACATTTGGGAGTTGTAGTTGCTGGGATTTATAGTTCACCTACAATCAAAGAGCATTCTGAACCCCACCAACGATGGAATTGAACCAAACTTGGCACACATGTCCCATGACAAACAGAAAATACTGGAAGGGTTTGGTGGGCAGTGTCCTTTTGTTTTGGAGTTGTAGTTCACCTACATCCAGAGAGCACTGTGGACTCAAACAATGATAAGATCAGGTGGAGAGATCCTCAGCCTTCTCTGCCAAAAGGGTCCCTAGACCATCGGAAAATACTGTGTTTTCTGATGGTCTTGGTGACCCCTCTGACATCCCAACCCCCCCCCCCCAAGGGTCCCGACCCACAGGTTGAGAAACACTGATCTAAGTCATGAATGAAGATGCTTTGCACATGACTTCAAAGGATGTCATACGGAGGAGGGAGCAAGATTGTCTTCCTGGTGCTCCAGAGACTAGGACACAATGGAGCAATGAGATTTTGTCTTCGCCCGATTTTTATTCATTTTTTAATAGTTTTCACTATCATGTTTTGGCCAAAACACAGGAATAAGGATTGCACTTAAACATTAAGTGAGAACTTACCTGATGTAACATGGTCTTACAATATATGGAATAGGCGTTCCTCACAGGAGTCAGAGATTACGGTTGTTTCAACAGGGGCTGAAGTGCATCTAGAGTTGTAAGGCGACTTGCAGTGTATGTCAGGATTAATTTAGTTATGTATGTGTTTTAAATGTGCTTCTATGTATTTCCAAGATGGATTCCACTGTGAATTAGAAATGCTGTGCAGAATGTTTATACTATGAGGCTGTGATTAAGTGAACTTGAGAAAAGTAAGATAAGGTTTGCTCTTGCTGGGAACAGAAGGGAGTAACCAGTCTCAGCAAGAGAAGATAAGCAGATGTGAAGAGGCTTTCGGTTTTGACTAGTTCCTGAATTGTAGCTCGCTGTAGTAAGACGTGTCTGATGTATGTACTTAGTAAACTTAGTTTCTTTTGTAACTAAAAGCCTGCAGAGTCCTTATTTTGCAACCCAGTGTCTTCTGATCTAGCATTCCTTCCGCTGGGCATTGTCTGATTCTAACAAATTGGTTATGGGCCCAGCACGCTTCCGCATGGCATAATGGAGTTGGGCTGGGTATTCTTTTTCTTCCTTTGCAAAGATGACGATTAGAAATGTAGATTTTGCAAGGCAATATAAAAAATAAAAGATGCTGAATTTTCTTTTTGGTATCAGGTTCTACAACAGGCAACTTCAGCCCTCGCATGGAATCAATGACATGGTAGGGGAACAAGCTGTCGTTACTACAAGAGATTATGGAAGTCAAGATCCAAATGCCTGCTCTTGGCTGACTGGACTGAGGGATGCTCAGCTGGTACAGCAGGCATGGGCAAACCTGGGCCCTCCCTCCTGGTATTTTAAACTTCAACTCCCACAATTCCTAACAGCCTACTGGCACCTGGAGGGAAGGCCCATTTGCCCATGCCTGTTCTACAGTTCTGCAATGTCCTCATACTATACTGTAAATTGATGCAGTTTCACTCCACTTTCACTCAATGCCACAGAATGATGGGAATCATAATCTTACATGGTGTTTCGCTTTCTCTACCAAAGAACGCTGCTGTCTCACCAAACTATACTTCCAAGGATTCCAAAGCATTGAGCCATGACTGTCAAAGTGGAATCAAACTGCATCAGTTCTCCAGTGTGAGCCGGCCTGAGCCTGGGGCCCCCAAACCCGAGAAAGTGTTGCCTACCTTCGCTTTGGCATTGACTTTGGCCTTGTTCTGGAGGAGGTACTTGGCCACCTCAGTGTGCCCAGCCCTGGCTGCCATGTGGAGCGGCGTTTCCACCTTCTGTGCAACGGGAAGGAAAAGAGAATGCATCAATGCTCATGAGATCTGAGAGTGACTGTCCTGTCTCCCACAGTATGAGCCAAAACGTCTCCCAAGCCTTTTCCATTAGACACTTTGATTCACCATCAAAACCTGGGGAAAGACCTTATTACATATGTGTCTCAAAACTTACTTAATCCTGCCCCCCAAAGTAAGCAATTATTAAGGTACTAGCTGTATCCACCATGCGTTGCTGTGACCAACCGTCTCTCCCTCTTTCTTTCCTTTCCCTCCTTCTTTTCCTTTTCCTTCCTTCCTTCCTTCCTTTCTCCTTCCTTCCTTCCTTCTTCCTCCTTCTCCTTCCTTCCTTTCCTCTTCCTCCTCCCTCCCTCCCTCCCCTCCCTTTTTCTTTCCTTCTCCCTCCTTTCTTCTCTACCTCTTTCCTTCCTCCCTTTTTCTTTTCCTTACCTTTCTCTCCTTTCTTCCTTCTCTGCCTCTTTCCTTCCTTCGCTTTTTGCTTCCATCCTTCTGTCTGTCTTTCCTTCCCTCTCTCTTTCTCTCCTTTCCTTCTCTACCTCTTTCCTTCTTTTCCTTTTTTCTTTCCTTCTCTCCTTCCTTCCTTCTCTACCTCTTTCTTTCCTTCCCCGTTTTCTTCTCCTCTTTCTCTTTCCTTCTCTACCTCTTTCCTTCCTTCCTTTACTTTTTGCTTCCATCCTTCTTTCTCTCTTTCCTTCTTTCCTTCCCCCCCTCTTCTCTCCTTTTCTCCTTCTTTCACTCCCTCTTTCCTTCCTTTCCTTTTTTCTTTCCTTCTCTCTCCTCTTCTTCTCTACCTTTCTTTCCTTCCCCTTTTTCTTTCCTCTTTCTCTCCTTTCTCCTTTCCCTTCCTTTCCTTCCTTTCTTTCCATCCTTCTCTCTTTTCCTTCTTTCCTTCCCTCCCTTTCTCTCCCTTTTCCTCCTTTCTTCCTCCCTCTTTTCCTTCCTTTCTTTTTCTTTCCTTCTCTCCTTCCTTCCTCTCTACCTCTTTCTTTCCTTCCCCTTTTCTTTTCTCCTCTCCTTTCTTCTCTACCTCTTTCCTTCTTCCTTTGCTTTTTGTTTCCATCTCCCTTCTCTCTTTCCTTCTTTCCTTCCTTCCCGCTTTCTCTTCCCTTTCCTCCTTTCTTCACTCCCTTTCCTTCCTTTCTTTTTCTTCTTCTCTCCTTTTTCCTTCTCTACCTCTTTCTTTACTTCCCCCTTTCTTTCTTTCTTCCTCTTCTCTTCTTTCTTCCTTCTCTACCTCTTTCCTTCCTTCCTCTTTTTTCTTCCTTCCTTTCTCTCTTTCCTTCTTTCTTCCCTCCTTCTCTCCTTCTTTCCCTACTTCCTTCACTCCCTCTTTCTCCTTACCATTTTTTCTTTCATTCTCCCCTCCTTCTCTACCTCTTTCTTTCCTTCCCCTTTTTTTCCTTCCTTCTTCCTTCTCTACCTCTTTCCTTACTTCCTTCCCTTTTTCTTTCCATCCTTCCTTCTCTCTTTCATTCTCCTTCCCTCCCTTTCTCTCCTTCTTCCCTCCTTCTTTCTCCCTCTTTCCTTCCCTTATTTTTCTTTCCTTCTCTCCTTCTTCTTCTCTACCTTCTTTCCTTCCTCTTCCTTCGCTCTTTGTTTCCATGCTTCCTTCTCTCTTTCCTCTTCTTCCTCCCCTTTTCTCTTCTTTCTTTCTTTCTTTCTTTCTTTTCTTTTCTTTCTTTCTCTCTCTTCCCCTTCCTTCCCTCCCTCTTCCTTCCCCTTTTTTCTGTATTGTCATTTAGCTTTATCATTTAGCTTTTTTTTTTGGGGGGGGGGGTTAAGTCCTTTCTGCTTTTTGGGTTTTTTGGGAGGTGTTTATGAGTGATGGTCACTTGGTCTGTTAGGGATATAGTGTCCAAATTTTGTGTCAATTCGTCCAGAGTTATGTTAATCCCACAAACGAACATGCCATTGTTATTTATACAGATTGCCGCTCACCACATTGGAAACATTGGGAGAGGCTCCGCGTTGCAGGAGGATCTTGACAATGGGGAGGTTCCCCATGAAGGAAGCCACGTGAAGAGGGGTCAGGCCCGACTGCAGGCAAAGCAGATGCAAGGGCAAAATCAACAAGGAAACAAGTACACATACGCAAGAGGTGACCACCCTGCCATTGACCACCCTGCTATTACAACCGACAGCTCTGACTCCCAAGTCTATGTTCAACACAGCAGGCACTTTTGAATAACAACCCAAACAAGTACAACAAATTAGTGTTGAAACTTTGAATCCTATAGACAGGCCAACTGAAGATTTCTCTGGGTACATCTGTTTTCAAACATCCCCACCCCCATAAAAAAGGATTATAGTTTGCCAAGGACATCAGGCTGAAAGGGTATAAAAGAGGCAAAGTCTTGGCCACCTTACAACAGGACTAACAACAGCAAGAATCCCCTTCCCACGTGAGATCCGTGAACATTTGTATCAAGGTTTTATATATATTTATAGCAGAAATGGACATATAGCAAATGTGCTGGAATCTCAGCTACACTGACCTCTGCTTGACCAGGGCTAACATTGACCTCTGACCTCTGACATTGACCTCTGCTTGACCAGGGCTAACTCAGAAGTCAATGTTAGCCCTGGTCAAGCAGAGGTCAATGTCAGAGGTCAGAGGTCAATGTTAGCCCTGGTCAAGCAGAGGTCAATGTCAGACTTCTGACCTCTGACATGACCTCTGCTTGACCAATGTTAGCCCTGGTCTGCTTGACCAGGGCTAACATTGACGTCTGACCTCTGACATTGACCTCTGCTTGACCAGGGCTAACATTGACTTCTGACCTCTGACATTGACCTCTGCTTGACCAGGGCTAACATTGACCTCTGACCTCTGACATTGACCTCTGCTTGACCAGGGCTAACATTGACTTCTGACCTCTGACATTGACCTCTGCTTGACCAGGGCTAACATTGACCTCTGACATTGACCTCTGCTTGACCAGGGCTAACATTGACTTCTGACCTCTGACATTGACCTCTGCTTGACCAGGGCTAACATTGACCTCTGACCTCTGACATTGACCTCTGCTTGACCAGGGCTAACATTGACTTCTGACCTCTGACATTGACCTCTGCTTGACCAGGGCTAACATTGAAATGACAAAATCAATTTTTTTGTGTGAAGGACATACATTGGGTTGTTAGGTGTCTTGTGTCCAAATTTGGTGTCAATTCGTCCAGTGGTTTTTGAGTTCTGTTAATCCCACAAACGAACATTACATTTTTATTTATATAGAAGTGTGGGTTTTTGTTTTTTTATTTGGGGCAGGGGGTTGTACTGCAAATAATATATGTGCAGAGTGCATAGAAATTCATTCATTTTTTTTTCAAATTATAATCGGGAGAAGCTGGGGCTAACAATGGAGCTCACCCCATACTGCAGATTCGAACTGCCGGCCTTCCAGTCAGCAAGTTCCGCAGCTTAGCAGTTTAACCTGCGTGCCACCGTGGCTCCTTAGACTGGAATTTGATCTAATCTGGGAAGCTCTCCTGACTTCCTTATGTTCTGAACATCTGGAGAGGCCCTGCTCATGATCCCACCTGTATCGCAAGCTCGATTGGTGGGAACGAGGGACAGGGCCTTCTCGGTGGTGGCCCCACGACTCTGGAACTCCCTCTCCAAGGACATCAGGCACGCCCCAACGTTGGCAGTCTTTAGAAGGAGTTTGAAAACATGGATGTTCCAGTGTGCCTTCCCAGAATAAGGAATCCCAAGCAATATGTCCCAATTGCACTTTACGAGAGATTTAGGATTGTCTGCATGCCCACCTATCCCTAAAATATCCATCCTATCCATCCTTGGACATGCCCAGCATTTTTAAAAATTTCAATTATTACATTTGGCCCAGCCATAGGTTTTTAAATGTGTTGTTTAATTGTTAATGTTTATTGCTTATTTTGCTTATGAGTTTATTTATTGTTTTTGTATTATTGTTGTTATTGTTTATTGTTGTATTGTGGGCTCGGCCTCATGTAAGCCGCACCAAGTCCCTTGGGGAGATGGTAGCGGGGGGACAAATAAAGTTTGTTATCACTAGGTTCTTGTAGGTTTTTTCGGGCTATAGGGCCATGTTCTAGAGGCATTTCTCCTGACGTTTCGCCTGCATCTATGGCAAGCATCCTCAGATTTAGTGAGGTCTGTTGGAAATAGGAAAGTGGGTTTATATATCTGTGGAATGACCAGGGTGAGACAAAGAGCTCTCTGCTGAGCTGGGTGTGAATGTTTCAACTGACCACCTTCATTAGCATTTGAAGGCCTGGCTGAGCCTGTGAAAATCTCCACCAAGAGGAAAAGTGTTCTTGCCATACATCAAGGGAACCACTGACCGCATAGGGAAGCTGATGAGGAAACACAACATAAAAACAATCTACAAACCCACCAAGAAAATCCAACAAATGCTACGTTCAGCAAAGGACAAGAGGGATCCTCTCACCTCTGCAGGAGTCTCCCGTGTACCATGAAGCTGTGGACAGGAAGTCTACATAGGGACCACCAAACGCAGCAGCATTGCCCAGACATGCATCAAGGGACATGAAAGGCACTGCAGACTACTTCAACCAGGGAAGTCAGCCATAGCAGAGCACCTGATGAAACCAACCTGGACACAGCATATTATTTGAGAACACAGAAATGCTGGACCACACCAACAACCACCATGTCAGACTACACAGAGAAGCCATTGAAATCCACAAGCATGTGGACAATTTCAACAGAAAGGAAGAGACCATGAAAATGAACAAAATCTGGCTACCAGTATTAAAAAAACTCTAAAATTATAACAGCTAAACAACAGAGAGGAAAAAACCAGGCACAGATTAACACCTCCCAGCAACAGATTTTCCCAGGCTCAGGCAGGCCTTCAAATGCTAATGAAGGTGATCAGCTAAACATTCACACCTAACTGCAGCAGAGAAGAGCTCCTTGCCCCACCCCAGCCATTCCACAGATATATAAACCCATTTTCCTATTTCCAACAGACCTCACCTCTGAGGATGCTTGCCATAGATGCAGGCGAAACGTCAGGAGAAACGCCTCTAGAACATGGCCCTATAGCCCGAAAAAAGGGAAAATCTTTTGTTTAGAGGTGTTAAGATGTGCCTGGTTGTTTCCTCTCTGCTGTTTTGCTGTTGTAATTTTTGAGTTTTTTTTTAATACTGGTAGCCAGATTTTGTTCATTTTCATGGTCTCTTCCTTTCTGTTGAAATTGTCCACATGCTTGTGGATTTCAATGGCTTCTCTGTGTAGTCTGACATGGTGGTTATGGTGTGGTCCAGCATTTCTGTGTTCTCAAATAATATGCTGTGTCCAGGCTGGTTCATCAGGTGCTCTGCTATGGCTGACTTCTCTGGTTGAAGTAGTCTGCAGTGCCTTTCATGTTCCTTGATTCGTGTTTGGGCGCTGCTGCGTTTGGTGGTCCCTCTGTAGACTTGTCCACAGCTGCATGGTATACAATGGTAGACTCCTGCAGAGGTGAGAGGATCCCTCTTGTCCTTTGCTGAACGGAGCATTTGTTGGATTTTCTTGGTGGGTTTGTAGATTGTTTGTATGTTGTGTTTCCTCATCAGCTTCCCTATGTGGTCAGTGGTTCCCCTGATGTATGGCAGGAACACAATAGGTACCACAGATATATAAACCCATTTTCCTAATTCCAACAGACCTCACTACCTCTGAGGATGCTTGCCATAGATGCAGGCGAAACGTAAGGAGAAATGCCTCTAGAACATGGCTCTATAGCCCGAAAAAACCCACAAGAACCTAGTGTTTCCAGCCATGAAAGCCTTCGACAATATTATTATTATTATTATTATTATTATTATTACCGCCGTGCAATGACGCCTTTGCAATGGTTTCTACAAGCTACGAGAAAATGCTTTTTCAAATGCAGTTGATTCACTTCAGGGAAGACAATTAACAACGCAACATTCTTCCATCCGGCAAAAGCCTTGAAAGGGCAAAATGCCCTTCGGGCCAGGATGCCAAGGGATTCGGCTTCATCCTGAGCCAAAGTGTGAGTCAGTGCACGGATGGGGAAAACAAGTGCAATGTTCCTGCGTTCCCACTCACAGGGGCAACGGCTCCTTCTGGCATTCGTCCGCTGAGCAAACAAAACAGGAATGTGAGCAAAAAATAATAATCAATTCCAAATTTGCAGTGTTGCCGAGAAGCGCCTTCTAGGTGTCAAAATCCACGTGTTCCCTTGCTAGCTCAAGTATTAATGAGATTTTCATGTATTAAATACTAAACATGTTCGTATGTAAACCAGGCCTGCTCCATCTCAAAATCAAATAGAGAATAATCCATGCCGTTTGCTCCGCCAGCTGTTGGGCATTAGACGCAGTCAGAATGTATATATAGTCTGTTAGATATGAGGCAAGTGGGGTGTGTGTGTGTGTGTGTGTGTGTATGGAATGTCAAGAGTGGAAGGAAGAACCCTTGTCTGTTTCAAGCAAGTGTGAATGTTGCAATTAGTAAGCTTGATTAGCATTGAGTCGTCTTGCAGTTGCAACATCAATAAGTGAGGGTATTTGTTGGCTGTTGTTGCCTGGAGGCATCCTCTGTTTGGGAGGTGTTACCTGGCACTTGACTGTTTGCTATCTGGAATTCCCCTGTTGCTGAGTAGTGTTTTTTATTTACTGTCTGGATTCTGGTGGTTTTAAATACTGGTAACCAAATTTTTGGGGGCCCCTGATGGTGCAGCAGATTAAACTGCTGAGCTGCTGAACTTGCTGACCAAAAGGTTGGCAGTTCGAATCTGGGGAGCGGGGTGAGTTCTCACTTTTAGCCCCAGCTGGGCCTCATGGCACAGCAGATTAAACTGCTGAGCTGCTGAACTTGCTGACCAAAAGGTTGGCAGTTCGAATCTGGGGAGCGGGGTGAGCTCCCACTGTTAGCCCCAGCTTCTGCCAACCTAGCAGTTCGAAAACATGCAAATGTGAGTAGATCAATAGGTACCACTTTTGCAGGAAGGTAATGGCACCCGTGCAGTAATGCTGGTCACATGACCTTGGAGGTGTCTACGGACAACGCCGGCTCGTCGACTTAGAAATGGAGATGAGCACCAGAGTCCCAGAGCTGGACATAACTAGATTTAATCTCAAAGGGAAACCTTTACTTTTAACCAGATTTTGTTCCTTTTCATGGTTTTCTCATTTTTGTTGAAATTTCCACATGTTTGTGGATTTCAGTGGCTTCTCTATGTAGCCTATCATGATGGTGAAATAGTAGTGTGTGAATATAAAGTTGAAAAATAATTAAAATACAAAAAATACAATTAAAATTACATTTAAAACTTACTATGGTAATATTTCTATTAGTCCCCCAAACTTGTGCTGGACTACAACTCCCACCATGGGTTGTGAGGATGATGGGACCTGTAGGGCTGGGCTGTAGCACAGCTGGTTAATCACCAGCTGCAATAGATCACTGCCGACTGGAAGGTGACATGTTCGAAGCCTGAGTCGGATTGAGCACCTGACTGTTAAGCCCAGTTTACTGTCCACCTAAGCAGTTCGAAAACAGCTGAGCAGTGAGTAGAGAAATTGGGGATTGCTTAAAGCAGAGAGGTAATTTACAACACCATAGAAATACCAGCGGTCAAAGACCAAGGAGGAAATATGACCAAAATGACGAAGTGACAGCACCCCCCTGTGGCTGGAATTGAGCATTACCTCCAGACACAGACGTGGAAATGTCAAAAATACCTCTATCTCTCTGTCTAGAAAAACAGCACTGAATGTTTGCCGTGTATGTGTGCATTGTGATCCGCCCCGAGTCCCCTTCAAGGTGAGAAGGACGGAATATAAAGACTGTAAATAAGTAAATAATAATAATAATAATAATAATAATACTTTATTTATACCCCACCTAATGTTGGAGGAAAATTCTGAGAGTGCCTTGGACTGCGAGAAGATCCAACCAGTCCATCCTCCAGGAAAGAAAGCCCGACTGCTCACTGGAGGGAAGGAGACTAGAGACAAAGCTGAAGTCCTTTGGCCACCTCATGAGGAGACAGCAAAGCCTGGAGAAGACAATGATGCTGGGGAAAGTGGAAGGCAAAAGGAAGAGGGGCCGACCAAGGGCAAGATGGATGGATGGCATCCTTGAAGTGACTGGACTGACCTTGAAGGAGCTGGGGGTGGTGACGGCCGACAGGGAGCTCTGGCGTGGGCTGGTCCATGAGGTCACGAAGAGTCGGAGACGACTGAACGAATGAACAACAACAACACCATCTCCCCAAGGGACTCGGAGTGGCCAAGGCATACTGGAACAACCATATTTTCAGGCTCCTCCTAAAGACTGCCAGAGTTGTGGCATGCCTGATGTCCTTGGGAAATGAATTCCAGAGTTGGGGGGGCCACCACCGAGAAGGCCTGCTCCCTCGTCCCCACCAATCGCGCCTGCGAAGGAGGTGGGAGTGCGAGCAGGGCCTCTCCAGATGATCGAAGAGATCGTGTGGGTTCGTACACAGAAATGCCGTCACGGGATCAAGGAAAGCTAACATAATCTGCATGGTCCCCATTCCGCCGGGGTGCGGTTCCCTTTCCTGCCTTGCCAACGTGGGGCTCTGCGTACCTCAGTGACGGCATCGATGGAGGCGCCTGTCTTCAGGAGGAGCTCCATCACCCGGATGTGGTTCTTCTTGCAGGCGATGTGCAGAGGGGTGAAGCCGTTCTGCAGCCACAGAAAAGGGAGAGAAGAGAGGTCCGTCAGTGCCACGGCAAGGAGCCACGGCACGACACGGTCCCCCGAGGCCAGCGCCGTCCTTTCGACTCACCAGGGCCCGTGCGTTTGGCTTTGCTCCCTTGTCCAGCAGGACCTTGGCCACGCGGTGGTGGCCACAGTGGGCAGCCACATGCAGCGGCGTCAGGTGGTCCAGCGTAATGTCGTCAATGTCGGCATTGTACTGCAGCAGAAGCCGCACGCAGTCCAGGTGGTCTCCCTGGGAGGCCATGTGGATGGGGGACAAGCCATTCTGCAGCAAGGAAAATCAGGTTTAGAGACCCATCCCTCCCAAAGCTTGTCTTTTTTAAAATTTATTGATATTTTGTTTTGTGAGCGGATTTATACAATTAATACATGCAAGTTGTCTATAACCACATTTCTCTACACCAGTGCTTCTCAACCTTCCTGATGCCGCGAACCCTTAATACAGTTCCTCACGTCGTGGTGACCCCCAACCACAACATTATTTTCGTTGCTACTTCATAACTGTAATTTTGCTCCTGTTTGAATCATAATGTAAATATCTGATATAGAGATATCGAGAGCAGTACGTGTGAAAAAGATCCTCGTGGACAACAAGTTAAACATGAGCCAACAATGTGATGTGGCGGCAAAAAAAGCCAATGGGATTTTGGCCTGCATCAATAGGAGCCTAGTGTCTAGATCTAAGGAAGTAATGCTACCCCTCTATTCTGCTTTGTTTAGACCACATCTGGAATATTGTGTCCAATTCTGGGCACCACAATTCAAGAGAGATATTGACAAGCTGGAATGTGTCCAGAGGAGAGCGACTAAAATGATAAAAGGTCTGGAGAACAAGCCCTATGAGGAGCGGCTTAAGGAGCTGGGCATGTTTAGCCTGAAGAAGAGAAGGTTGAGAGGGGATATGATAGCCATGTATAAATATGTGAGAGGAAGCCACAGGGAGGAGGAGGGAGCAAGCTTCCTTTCTGCTTCCCTGGAGACTAGGACGCAATGGAACAATGGCTTCAAACTACAAGAGAGGAGATTCCATCTGAACATGAGGAAGAACTTCCTGACTGTGAGAGCCGTTCAGCAGTGGAACTCTCTGCCCCAGAGTGTGGTGGCGGCTCCTTCTTTAGAAGCTTTTAAACAGAGGCTGGATGGCCATCTGTCAGGGGTGAATGCAATATTCCTGCTTCTTGGCAGAATGGGGTTGGACTGGATAATGGCCCATGAGGTCTCTTCCAACTCTTTGATTCTATGATTCTATACAGGATTTTAATTCACTGGACCAAATTTGGCACAAATATCTGATACACCGACATTTGAATGCTGGTGGGGTTGGGGGAGGGTTGATTTTGTCATTTAGGTGATGTAGTTGCTGGGATTTATAGTTCACCTACAATCAAAGAGAATTCTGAACTCCACCAATGATGGAATTGAGCCAAACTTGGCACACAGAACTCCCGCGTCCAACAGAAAATACTGGAAGGGTTTGGTGGGCCTTGACCGTGAGTTTTGGAGTTGTAGTTCACCTACATCTAGAGAGCTTTGTGGACTCAAACAATGATGGATCTGGACCAAACTTAGCATGGATCCTCAATATGCACATTTGTGAACACTGGTGGAGTTTGGGGAAAATAGACCTTGACATTTGGGAATTGTAGTTGCCGGGATTTATAGTTCACCTACAATCAAAGCATTCTGAACCCCACCAATGATAGAATTGGGCCAAACTTCCCACCCATAACCCCCATGACCAACAGAAAATACTATGTTTTCTGATGCTCTTCAGTGACCCCTCTGATACCCCCTTGCAACCCCCTCAAGGGTCCCGACCCCCAGGTTGAGAAACACTGCTCTACACCCTTCCATTATCCTCCACCTCCTTCATTCAATATTGTCCACTCACTTATCTAGTATGTCTTAGAGTTCATTCACTCTTTTGTTTTTGTTTTTTTCTCTCCCCCACCCCAAACCCATACCACAATTTCTATTAGAACTTTAACTCCATCCATGAGCTCAGCTTTTCCCATCTCTGTACAATATTTACATTGGCTTCGCCTCTTTTTATCCATTCCGAATATATGAACCATTTCTCTTTAATTTTCCTCATTTTATCTTCCTTCATATCCTCGCAGGTTGCATTTGCAATAATTTCTGATTGGACCTGGTCAAACAAATAATTATTCCAATTAACCATATTCCATTTTTGCAGCTTTCCAACCCCAAGCTGTTACAGCCTTTCCTGCAAGAATCATTGCTTTGAATAAATCTTGATATTTTGGATCGATTTTCTTGTTTCCTAATATACCCATGAACATCAACTCCATATTTATTGGAAGTGGTATCTTAAATATTTTCTCCATTTTTCCTGTTTTTGTTCCCAGAATGTTTTTGCCTTTGGGCATTCCCACCACATATGTGCATACCATCCTTTGCTTAAGCCACAATGCCAACAAGTTGAGCTTGTCAATCACTGCTCACTGGCATCCAACCAGAGCTTGTGTGTATATGTGCCCAAAAATTGCCTGTTGACATAGCATGGATTTCAGAGAGATACTCAGAAGTGACTTGTTTCTGCCTTCCTCTGGAATATAGTCTAGCTCAGGCATGGGCAAACATCGGCCCTCCAGGTGTTTTGGACTTCAACTCCCACAATTCCTAATAGTTTGTAGGCTGGAAGGGGGGCCCAAGTTTGCCCATGCCTGGTCTATCCGGATTTGGTCTTTCTTGGCGGTCTCCCACCCAAATACTAACCGCCGGGTCTGATCTTGGTTTGTTGCCAAAATGAGAATGTATTGAGGCCCTGTGCCAGGGCGTAGTGAAGCCCAATTTGAACTTATGTGGCATTGTAGGCACATAATAGGAATTACAAGTGCATCTAGTCTGTTGTCATTGGCTTGACAACTTCATTTTGACAACAGCTGGCATCTCTATGGGATTGTGGCGCAGCTGGCTGGGTGTCAGCTGCATTACGATCACCACTAACCAAAAAGTCATGAGTTCGAAGCCAGCCTGGGTCAGAGTGAGCTTCTGACCAATTGTGGAGCTTGTTGTCAACCTTTGCAACCTGAAAGACAGTTGCATCTGTCAAGTAGGAGATTTAGGTACCACCTATGTGTGAGGAGGCTAATTTAACTAATTTACGAGGCCATAAAAATCTCCAGCAAAAGCATGCGGGGAACGCGGAAAGTACTTCATCAGTGTTGTAGATGGACGGTGAAGCGACAGCTCCCCTGGTGGCCAGAAAATTGGAATGTTAAATAGCCTCTGAGTGTCTGTCTATATGTGTTGTGTGTCTATAGCATTGAATGTTTGCCATGTATGTGCACATCGTAATCCGCCCTGAGTCCCCTGTGGGGTGAGAAGGGCGGAATAGAAATACTGTCAATAAATAAATAAATAAATAAACATGTTGTTAGTCCCAGGCTAGAAATAACCGAATATTATGTGACCAGGACCAGCTCTTCTGATATTATGGCTACAGTACCAACTCCAGAGAACATCCATGTAAACAGCAAACAACCTCTGTCTCCATTCTGTGCTGGTCACAAAGACCTAGATAAGGAGTGACACGTATGCATCTCTCTCTTCATAACTCTGAAGCCGTATCTATCTTTTTTCTTTCTTTTCTCTTTCGTGCCAGGAGTGACTTGAGAAACTGCAAGTTGCTTCTGGTGTGAGAGAATAGGCCGTCTGCAAGGGCATTGCCCAGGGGATGCACAGATGTTCTGATGTTTTACCATCCTGTGGGAGGCTTCTCTCATGTTCCTGCATGCTCTATAAAATGCTTGGAATGGCCTTCTCACCCAGATCTGACCCTACAACACCACCTTTTCCTCCACTTTCCGTTTCAGTTAAGTAAGTTCATGAAGATCCCATGACATCAATAGCTACTAGGGCTGTCCAAACACGGAAAAATTTGTTTCTAAACTCGATTCGTTTTTAGGGTTTTTTTTGCGTTTCGTTATTTAAAAGAATTCCGAAATTTTCCTTAAAAAAAGTTCGATATTTACGAAATTTCGGAAATCATAAAACAATTACGAAACAATTACGAATCGATTACGAATCGATTCGTTAATGGCGGCCGCGATCGCGCAATACGCTAAAAAAACTTCTGAAGCTTCCCTCTCCCTCTGTTGTTGACTGTTGGTGTGATAATTATATTTTTTTTCACTGAGAAAACAAACAGCAACCCTAAAACTTGCACCAGACATGCGGAAATAATAACGAAACATTTACGAATCAATAACGAATCAATAACGAATCAATTGAAACAATTACGAAACGAATTGGAAAAATTCGTTTCGTTTTTTAGTTGCTCCTGAATGGTTCAATATCGCTTCGTTATAAAAAAAATAACGAATTTTTAACGAATTACGAAATTACGAAACGAAACCGCCCAGACCTAATAGCTACACCTTCTTTCATACTTTAATGCAACCTTTCTTAAGCAATGCAAGTCTTTAGGGAACTTTGGGATTCCAATGACAAAAAAGCGGCTTTCTTTGCCATTCCTACAAGTCAGATGCCAAAAGAGCAACTTTCCCCGCTGCTGCATGTCACCTTGGTCTTGGCTTGGATGGGAGCACCGTGGTCCAGGAGGATTTCAGCAATGCGCACGTGTCCGTTCCTGGAAGCGCAGTGCAAGGGCGTCAGCTCGTCCTGCAGAAAGGATGCGAAAGTTAGCAGAGCAATTGGGAAGGCCGAAAAAAAAAAGGGGGAGAATTTCCTTGTAGTTTCAAGGCCACATCCTCTTCATTAAGTCCATTTTGTTCTCTCCACTGGCTGCTTTGAACACATCTTAGCTTGAAGCGGTGATTCCCAACCTGAGGGTCCCTCCCCAAGTGTTAATATCACAAAGGACGACCACCTCGCCCACCTCATAGGAAACCTGCGACAAAACAGGAGCTTTTTTGTTGAGTTCCAGGGCCAGAGAAGCAGATGACGGAAACAGAAGAACGGCCTGCCTCAGGGGAGCGTGCTTGCTCCATCCATGTTCAACATCTACACAAATGACCAGCCACTGCCAGAAGGGACAGAGAGTTTCATCTATGCTGATGATCGTGCCATCACCGCTCAAGCAGGGAGCTTTGAGATGGTTGAACAGAAGCTTTCCGAAGCTCTAGGTGCTCTTACTGCCTATTACAGGGAAAACCAGCTGATCCCCAACCCATCTAAAACACATCTCAAGAACAGAGAAGCATCCCGAGCTCTGAGGATTATTACCTGGGAAGGAATCCCACTGGAGCATTGCAGCACACCCAAATACCTGGGAGTCACTCTGGACCGTGCTCTGACCTACAAGAAGCACTGCCTGAACATCAAGCAAAAAGTGGGTGCTAGAAACAATATCATACAAAAGCTGACTGGCACAATCTGGGGATCACAACCAGACACAGTGAAGACATCTGTCCTTATGCTATGCTACTCTGCTGCTGAGTATGCATGCCCAGTGTGGAACACATCTCACTACGCTAAAACAGTGGATGTGGCTCTTAATGAGACATGCCGCATTATCACGGGGTGTCTGCGCCCTACACCACTGCAGAAATTACACTGTCTAACCGATATTGCACCACCTGACTTCCGCTGGGAAGTAGCAGCAGAGACATCTCCAGCTCAACCCCTGTTTGGGTATCAGCCAGCACGTCAACGACTTAAATCTAGAAATGGTTTTCTAAGATCTACAGAGACACTCGCTGGAACACCTCAGCAAGCGAGAGTCCAAAAGTGGCAGGCTCAAACCCAGAACCTCAACCAATGGCTGATACCAAATGAGAGACTGGGCACACAGAAGACTGGGCGACTTGGAAGGCGCTGAACAGACTGCGCTCTGGCACCACGAGATGCAGAGCCAACCTCAAGAAATAGGGCCACAAAGTGGAATCCACGACATGCGAGTGTGGAGAAGAGCAAACCACTGACCACCTGCTGCAATGCAACCTGAGCCCTGCCACATGCACCATGGAGGACCTTCTTAGTAACACCAGAGGCACTCCCAAGTGGCCAGATACTGGTCAAAGGACATTTAGTCAACTACCAACTTGCAAATTTTATGTTTTGTCTGTTTGTTTTGTTCTGTTAGAAATGTAAAACAATTGGCTGGTTGCCCTGACACGACAAATAAATAAATCCCCAAGTATTTTGGCCTTCAACTTCCAGAAATCCCAACAGCTGGTAAACTGATTTCTGGGAGGTTTTTGGTTTGGTATTGTGGTATGGCCATTAAGGGCTAATCAATAAAATTACGACTACTTTTATGATGTGTATAGATTAAACTTCCAGAAGCTGCAGTCCAAAGAAATAGAAGTATTTTTCTCTCAACTCTTATGCTGCTTTTCTTCTTCTTCTCGCCCACCATCCCCTTCTGCAAGTCCACCTTGGGACGGACCTTACCTTGGTGCGAGTCTCAATCTGGGCCCCTCGGTCAAGCAGGAGGCGCACCATGATGATGTTGCCCCGACGGGAGGCAATGTGCAACGGGGTGATGCCGTTCTGCATTCGTAGGGAGAGAGAAAAAAGGGGAGAATGAATTCAGCTGCTTGATATCTGGCCAATTTTACCGAATGCTGCTTAGATCTCATAGGGGCTGCCCTTGAAGACGGCCTGGAAACTCCAAATGGTTCAATGAGCAGCAGCCAGATTATGAACTGGTGCGAATTACAGAGAATGGTCAACTCTCCTGTTTAAGGAGCTCCACTTGCTGCTGTTTATTTTCTGGTCCCAATTCAAGTTGCAGGTTTTGACCTACAAAGCCCTGAACGGTTTGGGACCCGCCTACCTGCGCAACCGCATCTCTTTCTATGAACCCACACGACCTCTTCGATTGTCCGGAGAGGCTCTTCTCTTGCTCCCAACCTCATCACAAGCGCGACTTGTGGGGATGAGAGAAAGGGCCTTCTCTGTGGTGGCCCCCCGGATCTCGAATTCGCTCCCCAGAGATATTAGGCAAGCCCCCACCCTGGCAATCTTCAGGAGGAGCCTGAAAACTTGGTTATTTCAATGTGCCTTCAATGATTGAATGTAAGAAACTCCCTGACCAAACTCTGCACAAAATGACCTCAGAAGCACTTTATTTTATGGTTTGTGCAATTAAATCCTACCTCATCCTCGGATCCCCTCCCTGGCTTTTACATTGTCCTATGTCCCAGTGTTTTAAAATTTTATCCTCGAATTTGGCCCTGCCCAGTGTGATCATTTGAGTTTTAATGTTTGATTTTATGCTCTTGTGTCGTTTACTTATATTGGTTTGCATCGTTTGTAATTTATTTTCTGATATTTTGTTGTGATTTGTGTTGATATTGTGTTTTACTGTATTGATGGGCGTGGCCTTATGTAAGCCGCCCCGAGTCCCCTTGGGGAAGATGGAGGTGGGGTATAAACAGAGGTGGCCCTAGATAATTTTCAATGGTAAGCAAACAGTATCACCCCCCCCCCCCAACCTATCACTGATATATATATATTCTGTTCGTCATGGGAGTTCTGTGTGCCGTATTTGGTTCAATTCCATCATTGGTGGAGTTCAGAATGCTCTTTGATTGTAGGTGAACTATACATCCCAGTAACTACAACTCGCATATGTCAAGGTCTATTTTCCCCCAAAAGTGCCCCTGGGCAAAATCAACTATACTGCAAATGCTTACTTTGCGTAATGGGTTGAGCCGCCCCTGGGTATAAATAAAGTATTATTATTATTATTAGTATTATTATTATTTCTTTTTACTCTTGGGCTTAGTCATTGTCTTAGCTCTGTTGGAAATAGCAACCTTCTCAAGCCTCCACTAGTTATTTGTTATGTATAGAATTACTTACTGTATATGTGTATTTTGGTTTGCAGTTTTTCCTTAACTCTTTGTTGTGGGAGGGGCTGCCAACCATGTGATCAGAACCGGGCTTGTTCAAGACTCAGACTCCATTTTAGAACAGTATGCTTTTAAGAAGACAGGAGGAGCAGTGTGCATTCAGACTAGACCAGCGGTTCTCAAGCTTCCTAATGCGGCGACCCCTTAATGCATTCGCTCAAGTTGTAGTGTGTACTGGTACAGCTGTACCAGGAGCTCCAACTTTATTTTCCTCCTGTTAAAGTTTGCAGTCATAGGATAGGCCACCTGTCCATCATAATTAAGCTTTGGTTCCACCCCCTGTTCAGGCTCTGGGAGGGAAAGGAGCCATTTTGGGCAGTCTCACACAAGGTAGGTAAGCTATAGGACGTAGACCAGCTCGTCCCATAGAAAAGCTTCCTTTCTTAAGAGCTTCCAGGGAAAAAAGGAAACTGAGCATCCAGGGAAACTGAAGTACAAGAAATTCTTAAGAGCTTCCAGGGAAACTGATCATCCAGGGGAAAAGGAACGTGCAGGAAAACTGAAATTTACTGAATTCAGCTGAAATATTTTTTTTCGCACTTCTACCTCGCCCTTCTCAACCCCCGAGGGGGGACTCAGGGCGGCTTACAAAAAGGCACAATTTGATGCCTGCACAACAACAAGGTAAAAAATAAAACATATATAAACAGTAATTAAAACAATTAAAAACAATCCATTATGCATCACAGTCCCTAAAAAAATATCTTCAAGCCTCAGCCGGTAAGGTCTGCTCGATACCCAGACGCGCTTGGATTTGGTAGCAGCACCCACACTGATGAGGCATAGATAGAAAGCAGCCTAAAGGTAAAGGTAAAGGTAGTCCCCTGACATTAAGTCCAGTCATGTCTGACTCTGGGGTGTGGTGCTCATCTCCATTTCTAAGCCAAAGAGCCAGCATTGTCCGTAGACACTCCAAGGTCATGTGGCCAGCATGACTGAATGGAGCGCCGTTACCTTCCCGCCGGAGCGGTACCTATTGATCTACTCACATTTGCATGTTTTCGAACTGCTAGGTTGGCAGAAGCTAGGGCTGACAGCGGAAGCTCACGCCGCTCCCTGGAATCGAACCTGCGACCTTTCGATCAACAAGCTCAGCAGCTCAGTGCTTTAACCCACTGAGCCACTGGGGGCTCCAGAAAGCAGCCTAGGAGAGGTTAAAAAGGGGGTTTCCTACAGAGAAGGTCCAGTTGATCAAAGTCAGGTGCCAGTCCATTGAAGACTAGACTAAGAAAGCCTTAAAGTGTTATTTGAACCTTTGAAGATTTTTTGTTTGTTCCATAATAAAGACTTTGTTGCATCATTAAAGACTCTAAAGGCCATCACTTCAGAAAAATCCCTGAGAACCTCTCTTTGAGGCACCCCTGCCTTCCCTCTGGGCTAAAGTATACGTCCTATAGAAAAGTAGAGTTATTACAGGCCCAGCGCATGACATAACATAGTTTTTTGGGGGGTTTTTTTTGTCGTGTCAGGAGTATCCTGTTGTGAGAGAATTGGCCGTCTGCAAGGACGTTGCCCAGGGGACGCCCGGATGATTTGATGTTTTTATCATCCTTGTGGGAGGCTTCTCTCATGTCCCCGCATGAGGAGCTGGAGCTGATAGAGGGAGCTCATCCACCTCTCCCCGGATTCGAACCTGTGACCTGTCGGTCTTCAGTCCTGCCGGCACAGGGGTTTAACCCACTGCGCCACCGGGGGCTCCACAGAACATAGTGACCTTCAACCATAAAATTTTCATTGCTACTTCAGAACTGCTATTTTGCGATGTAAATATCTGATCTGCAGGATGTATTTTCGTTCCTATTTCCAAAACACCTGGAGGGCCCAAGTTTGCCCAGGTCTGCTTTAGAGTCATGGAATTCTCGCATCAGAAGAGTCCTCCAAATTTTTCAGACCTTTAGAGCTAGTCCTACCTTCTGGGTCAGCAGAACAACCAACCCTGAAATAGTTAAAGAGGGCAGTCACGTCAACCCCACTCTTCGCTCCACCACACTCAATCTGCCCAATCCCCGCCACCTTGACTCATATGTTTCGTTCTCCGTTCCTCTTCTCCAAAATATCCTGCACTTGTACCCATGCCTGCAGTCTGTGACACCCATGGTTTCATGTGGCTGCAGGGTTCATTTCAGGTGCCTGGAGCATGGGCCAAAAGCAGTGATCCAAACAGGGCTTGCTCCTACCTACCTGGGGAGTGAAGTTGACACTTGCGCCACGATTTAGCAACAACTGGGCCACGTTGAGGTTCTCGTAGTGTGCGGCAATGTGCAGCGGGGTAAAACCAGTCTGTGGGAGAGAAGGGACATGAGATCAAAGAGCATTCCGATTGGAAGAAACAGTTCTGAGTCCCAGGCCATCTCCAACGTGGATCAAGTGCTATCTGCCGCCCTTTTCTCCTCAGTACAGGTTAGCGTGAAAGGATTTGCTCCAGGGTGCTCAAACAAGTCAGCACCAGCTCCGTCGGCTACTTATAGGATAGACCGCCTACCACTTCATCACATTTGCTAAATTCCACCGAGTCCTACACTTAAAATCCGGTAAACCACAGTGTTCATCACATTAGGTTGGGTTCAAATGTAGGAGAGAGCATCCTTTCTGTATTTTGAGCATTCTTTTCAAACGTTTCAGCAGATGGCAGGGGAAGTGGATTTTTGGGAAATAGCATGGCCCGACTTACCGGGCCAAAGAAGTTGCGGTGCAGGGTGTCCCCCACCGCCATTCTTGCCTGAGGGGGGCTTCTTCCTCCCAGAAGCCCCCTCTGATGGCGGGAAGAATTCCCGCCGGCGGGTCAAGGGACCAATGGCCTATTGACCACGCCCACCACAGCTGAGGCCTGAGCTGGCCTCTCCCCCTTTCGGGTCAGCCTTCATAAGGCTGCCCAGGCTCCCTGGCAGGCACTTGGCCTGCAACAGCTGATCCACCCCACCCACCCTGCATGCGGTTTATGTTTTCATGGCTGTTAATTTTTGGAGATGTTCACCTTGTCACGGTTACCTGTTAACAGTTACTTGTTTGTCTTTTGCTTCTCGTCACAACTCCTTGTTGGGCGTGGGGCATGGGCCCTGGATCTGGTTTGGTATCCCCCCTAGCGGATAGGGGGGGACGCCCGGTGGTCCCAGGGGTGCTGAGTTGCGTGTGCCCGGTATTGTGCCGGCGGCACCCCGGTGTGTGCGGGATCGGACAGTATTGGGCTGTCCGATCATGATCCAGGACCCATGCTTGGCTGCCAACCCTTGTTCCTGTTATCAATAAATGAGTTGTGGCCATTGTTCATCCCACATCATGTGTGAGTGTACTTCTTGGGTTGGCTGTGGGAGGTGTATCGCACTTGCACACGCAAATGATCCAGAAGAATGGCCAATTCTGTAATATGATGGCAATCGTTGTTTTCGGGTTTTAAATAAAAATTTGTGGGAGGGGAAATTGTGGGAGGAGCCAAGATACCCTTGTTAGGGAAAGTTAGGGAATGTTTATTATGCCATGTCTCCATGCTGTGCAGTCCTGGGAGTTATAGTTTCCCAAGGTCCAAGCCCTTCTCTGGGTGCATTTATACTATGGAATGAATGCTCTTGGACCCCACGTACGTTCCATACCTTAGAGAGGACATCTGCATTGGGGTCGTTCTGAAGGAGGACGGCAGCTGTGCGCGTGTCGTCGTTGCGGGCAGCTATGTGCAGGGCTGGGAGGCGCACTTTGCCCTTCGTCCCGTAGTTAATCAGGTGGGCCACAACGTTTTCGTGGCCCTGCTGAAGCGCCACAGCCAGCGGAGTGAAGCCGTCCTGAGATCAAGGAAGGAGACACCACTGAGCAAAGGGGACCATGAGATGCCAAAGCCATGTATGGGGAGAAAGCAGGGCAAGAATGATGGCATTGAGAAGGTGATACTCACTTCTGTAGCCACATTTTGGTTGGCGCTGTTCTCTAGCAGGAACTTGACAACTTCCAGGTGATTCTCCTGTGCTGCCATATACAGGGGTGTGAAGCCTTTCTGCAAGCATAGAAACCATAGATTTTATTGTCTAACAGTGTGCAATAACAAAAATCAACATTGCAGCCATTTAGTTAAGAGGTTATTTATTTTATTTTATTTATTTGTCGTGTCAGGGAACCAGTCAATTATATAACATTTCTAACAGAACAAAGCAAACAAACAGAGAAAATACAAAATTTGTGAGTTTGGTAGTTAATTAAATGTCCTTTGACCAGTATCTGGCCCCTTGGAGTGCCTCTGGTGTTGCCGCAAGGAGGTCCTCCATGGTGCATGTGGCAGGGCTCAGGGTGCATTGCAGCAGGTGGTCAGTGGTTTGCTCTTCTCCACACTCGCATGTCGTGGATTCCACTTTGTGGCCCCATTTCTTAAAGCTGGCTCTGCATCTCGTGGTGCCAGAGCGCAGTCTGTTCAGCGCCTTCCAAGTCACCCAGTCTTCTGTGTGCCCAGGGGGGAGTCTCTCATCTGGTATCAGCCATTGGTTGAGGTTCTGGGTTTGAGCCTGCCACTTTTGGACTCTCGTTTGCTGAGGTGTTCCAGCGAGTGTCTCTGTAGATCTTGGAAAACTATTTCTAGATTTATGTCGTTGGCGTGCTGGCTGATACCAAAACAGGGGATGAGCTGGGGATGTTTCTGCCTTGGTCCTTTCACTTTTGGCTGCTACTTCCCGGCAGATGTCAGGTGGTGCAATACCGGCTAAGCAGTGCAATTTCTCCAGTGGTGTCGGGTGCAGGCACCCCGTGATAATGCGGCATGTCTCATTAAGACCCACATCCACTGTTTTAGCATGGTGAGATGTGTTCCACACTGGGCATGCATACTCAGCAGCAGAGTAGCACAGCGCAAGGGCAGATGTCTTCACTGTGTCTGGTTGTGATCCCCAGGTTGTGCCAGTCAGCTTTCGTATGATATTGTTTCTAGCACCCACTTTTTGCTTGATGTTCAGGCGGTGCTTCTTGTAGGTCAGAGCACAGTCCAGAGTGACTCCCAGGTATTTGGGTGCACTGCAATGCTCCCGTGGGATTCCTTCCCAGGTAATCATCCTCAGAGCTCAGGATGCTTCTCTGTTCTTAAGGTTAAGAGATAAAACAGGAGGATTCCGCAGAATGAACGGTCTCTCAGATATAACTCAGAGCCCTCCTCGTCCAGTGTGACCACTAGATACTACACTTGTGTTATGGAAGAAGAAGCAGGTTTCTTTGTATTAAGACAGTGGTTCTCAACCTTTTTAATGCTACGACCCCTGAATACAGTTCTTCACATTGTGTTGACCCCCAACCATAACATTATTTTCATTGCTACTTCATATCTGTCATTTTGCTACTGTTAGGAATGGTAAATATCTGATACGCAGTATGTATTTTCATTCACTGGACCAAATTTGGCACAAAGACCCGACACTCCCAAATTTGAATACTGGTAGGATCTGGAGGAGGGATTGATTTTGTCATTTGGGAGTTGTAGTTGCTGGGATTTATAGTTCACCTACAATCAAGGAGAATTCTGAACCCCACCAATGATGGAATTGAACCAAACTTGGCACACAGAACTCCCATGACCAACAGAAAATACTGGAATGGTTTGATGGCCATTGACCTTGAGTTTTGGAGTTGTAGTTCACCTATATCCAGAGAGTACTGGACTCAAACAACGATAGATCTGGACCAAACTTGGCACAAAGACTCAATATGCTCAAATGTGAACACTGGTGGAGTATGGGGAAAATAGAGCTTGACTTTTGGGAGTCAAGGTCTATTGACTCCCAATGAGGGAACTGAACCAAACTTGGCACACAGAACTCCCATGACCAACAGAAAATACTGGAAGGGTTTGGTGGGCATTGACCTTGAGTTTTGGAGTTGCAGTTCACCTATATCCAGAGAGTACTGTGGACTCAAACAATGATAGATCTGGACCAAACTTGGCACAAAGACTCAATATGCTCAAATGTAAACACTGGTGGAGTTTGGGGAAAATAGATCTTGATATTTGGGAGTTGTAGTTGCTGGGATTTCGTCTACTACAATCAAAGAGCATTCTGAACTCCACCAATGAGGGAACTGAACCAAACTTGGCACACAGAACTCCCATGACCAACAGAAAATACTGGAAGGGTTTGGTGGGCATTGACCTTGAGTTTGGGAATTGTAGATGTTCCACTTGCCTAGTTTCCAACAGACCAGACAACCTCTGAAGATGCCTGCCATAGATGCAGGCAAAACGTCAGGAGATAATGTTTCTGGAACATGGCCAGGCAGCCCAAAAGACTCACAGCAACCCAGAGATTTCGGCTTGAAAGCCTTTGACAACACAGAAACAGATTGTTCAGAGTGGCCAGATTTTATCATCTGCCAACATGCTGCAACCATGGACAAAAATGCAACTGTGGGAAGAGTGAATAGATCAAAGCACAATTTCTAGAGATATTGTCAGGATAGAGAGGAAAGCCTCCAGTGCCCGTTCGTTTCAGTGCGGTTTATGCAGAGCAGCTGTACAAAAGATTATGCCTTGGATTAATAGTATGGCTTAACAGCATATTATAGTATACAGGCAGTCCCTGAGTTACAAACACCTGACTTACAAATGAGTCATAGTTAAGAACTATGAGACAAAAGGAAGTGAGATAAATCTACCCCTCGGAAGGAAGGGAAATTCGCTCCTGGAAGAGTTATTATCAGGTGGGAAAAGTGTCTCCACTGAAGCTTTAGCAACAACAAGCCAATTTATTTTATTTTTTTTGCAAAATTGCAAATATCATAAGGACAGAAAGTGAGGTGAAATCTTCTCAACAGGGACACAAATAGCAAAACAAACACTACAGGGCTGTTGATCCTTCCTTATGTTACACAAAACATGCATACACACACACATGGAGTATGTGTATGTGTTTGTGTGTGTGTGTATATATAGATATATATACACATGTATCTCTCTCTCTCTCTCTATATATATATATCTATATATCTATATATACATACACACATATATGTGTGTGTGTGGAATAGGTACATTTTAAAAGTTTAACTCCAGATACACACACACACACACATGAAGGAGTATGTGTGTGTATGTATGTATATGTATATATATATATGTGTGTGTGTGTGTGTGTGTGTGTGTGTGTGTATGTATATGTATATGTGTAAGTTGGAATAGGTACATTTTTAAAGTGTAACTCTCTCTCTCTCTCTCTCTCTATATATATATATACACACATATACATACACACATATGAAGGAGTATGTGCATGTATGTATATATGTGTGCATGTATATGTGAGTGTATGTATATATGTATGTGTATGTGTGTGGAAGTTGGAATTGTATATATATGTGTGTGTGCATGTATATGTGTGTATGTATATGTGTAAGTTCGAATAGGTACACACTCTCTCTATATATATATACACATACATACACATATATGAAGGACTGTGTTTGCATGTATGTATATATGTGTGCATGTATATGTGAGTGTATGTATATGTGTGTGTGTGTAAGTTGGAATAGGTACATTTTAAAAATGTAACTCCATATATATACACACACATGGAGTATGTATATGTGTGTATGTATGTCTGTGTATTTGTATGTGTGTGTATATATATGTGTGTTTGTATGTGTGTGTGTGTGTATATGCAGTTGAGGAGAGGGGGACTGGGGGGGGGGTCTCTCATTTGTGGGGTCACCAAGAATCAAAGTCGACTCGAATAAAGCCAATAGCAACACCAAAAAAAAAAAAGTCTTGGGAAGGGGAGAAGTATAGGCACCGTTTGCATTTCTAAACCCAAACTCACAAACACCATAACACTTGGAGTGGTCTTGTGACCATCTAGAACACAATCAGAATCAACGTGGGGTCAGGTATAGGGCTTTTAGGACAAGGAAGGGAAGTGTAGCAATCAATGCAGAAAACATCTGGGTGATTTTTTTTCCTGCATTTTGGATCAACTTCATTCCTGTTTAACCAAGAGGAATGGAACGACCAAGGGTAGGAAAGGAAATATGCACCCTGAAAATGCAAAGCAGGGTTGCAATGTACACATTCAATCAAACGGCTGGAACCACCAGCTGTTTGTTTACTCACCTGCTTAGAGAAAGGATCCCCAGCTCAGGTGGAGAGGCTGCCTTCCCCTGTTAAGAGCGATCCCCTGCCAACCCCCCAAAACCAGCATGGTTTCATGTTTGTGGAACCCAACACGGAGACCTTTCCAAAAATGATTCAGAAGTGCCAACTGCAGGCAGAGAAGGGGCTGCTGCTGCTGCTCTTTGCCAGAAGGACGGATCCCCAGCCAGCCCTGGAAATAGGAATTCCGCTCTTTGGGGAGACTCCAAAGCCCCCCATTCTGAATCCTGCCTCACCCTATTTCTCCCTGTCTCCCCAGCATTTCTTTGACCTTCAGATGCCTACTTACATAACCCAAATGCAAGAGAGCAGGCGGTCGGTTGCAAGCAGGCCGTCTCCCTCCATGGCCGGCAGAGGGCTCCTGACGTGCCTGAGAGGACAGGACCTCTCCCCTCCTGTGCTATATACACTCAGCAGTGCTTCTCGGCCTTCCTATTGCCGAGACCCCTTCATACACTCCCCCCCCCAAACATAACATGGTCACCCCCAAACATAACATCATAAATAACATCATAAATGGGTTGGTGTAGGTTTTTTCAGGCTATATGGTTATGGTCTAGAGGCATTCTCTCCTGACGTTTCACCTACATCTATGGCAAGCATCCTCAGAGGTAGTGAGGTCTGTTCCACAAACCTGTTCCTGCCAACACATCAAGGGAACCACTGACCGCAGAGGGAAGCTGATGAGGAAACACAACATACAAACTATCTACAGACCCACCAAGAAAATCAAACAAATTCAGCAAAGGACAAGAGGGATCCTCGCACTTCTGCAGGAGTCTACCGTATACCATGCAGCTGTGGACAAGTCTACATAGGGACCACCAAACGCAGCACTGCCCAAACACGAATCAAGGAACATGAAAGGCACTGCAGACTATTTCAACCAGAGAAGTCAGCCATAGCAGAGCACCTGATGAACCAACCTGGACACAGCATATTATTTGAGAACACAGAAATGCTGGACCACTCTCACAACCACCATGTCAGACTACACAGAGAAGCCATTGAAATACACAAGCATGTGGACAATTTCAACAGAAAGGAGGAAACCATGAAAATGAACAAAATCTGGCTACCAGTATTAAAAAACTCTAAAATTACAACAGCACAACAACAGAGAGGAAACAAACAAGGACATCTAATCACCTCTCAACAAAAGTTTTCTCCAGGCACTGTCAGGCCATTATATGCTAATCAAGGTGGTCAGTTGAAACATTCACACCTAGCTCCAGCAGACAAGAGTTCTTTGTCCCACCCTGGTCATTCCACAGATATATAAACCTCTTTTTCCTAGTTCCAACAGACCTCACTACCTCTGAGGATGCTTGCCATAGATGCAGGAGAAACGTCAGGAAAGAATGCCTCTAGACCATGGCCATATAACCCAAAAAACCCCACAACAACCCAGTGGTTCCGGCCATGAAAGCCTTCGACAATACATTGAACATCATAAATATCTGATATGCCCAAATTTGAATTTGGGGGGGGGGGTTGATTTTGTCATTTGAGAGTTATAGTTGCTGGGATTTATAGTTCCTTGGACAGGGAGAAGATCCAACCATTCCATACTTCAGGAAATAAAGCCCGACTGCTCATTGGAGGGAAGGATAGTAGAGGCCAAGATGAAGTACTTTGGCCACAAAATGAGAAGACAGGAAAGCTTAGAGAAGGCAATGATGCTGGAGAAAATGGAAGGAAAAAGGAAGAGGGGCCGACCAAGGGCACCGGGATTGTGGCACAGCTGGCTGAGTGTCAGCTGCATTAAGATCACTCTGACCAAAAAGTCATGAATTCAAAGCCAGCCCAGGTTGGAGTGGGTTTCCAAGCAATTGTGTAGCCTGTTGTTGACCTTTGCAACCCGAAAGACAGTTGCATCTGTCAAGTAGGAAAATTAAGTACCACCTTAAAGTGTGGGGAGGCTAAATTAACTGATTTATGAGGCCATAAAGAAGATCCAGCAAAGCATTCCAGCAGGGAAGCATGCGGGGAATGTGGAAGTGCTTCATCAGCGTTGCAGATGGACAAGGAAAGCGACAGCTCCCCTGGTGGCCAGAAAAAGTTAAATAGCCTCTGTGTATGTCTGTATATGTTTGTATATATATGGTTGTGCCAGTCAGCTTTCGTATGATATTGTTTCTAGCTTCGGAAAGCAACCATTTCAAAGCTCCCTGCTTGACTGGTGATGGCATGATCGTCAACATAGATGAAAGTCCCTGTCCCTTCTGGCAGTGGCTGGCCATTTGTGAAAATGTTAAACATTTTATTTGTTTGTTTGTTTGTTTGTTATTCAAACTTATATGCCGCCACTCCCCTAGGGCTTACCAGAACAGACTAAAATCTAAAACAGAACAGACTAAAATCTAAAAACGGCAATATCAAAGATTAAAAGCCTGTCAAAACAAATATGTCTTACATGCCCTGCGGAACGCTGATAAGTCCCGCAAGGCATGGACTTCAGGTGGCAGAGTGTTCCAGAGTGATGGTGCCACTGCTGTAAAGGCTCTGCGTCTGGTTGCCGTTAGACGCAAGGTCTTGACACTGGGAATTTCCCACAAATCTTGGTCTTCAGAGCGGAGGGATCTCTGGGGTTGGGAGGGGGTGAGGCGGTCCCTCAGGTACATCGGCCCCAGACCATGCAAGGCCTTAAAGGTGAGTACCATCACTTTGAAAGTGATCCGGTGCTCAATTGGTAACCAGTGCAGCTGCAGTAAGATTGGGGTGATGTGGCATCTCATCGGAATTCTCGCAAGAAGCCGAGCAGCTGCATTTTGTAACAACTTGAGCTTCCGGATCACCGACAGAGGAAGGCCAATGTAGAGGGCGTTACAGTAGTCCAGTCTTGAGATGACCATAGCCTGGATCACCATAGCCAAGTCGTCCCTGGACAGGGAGGGGGCCAGCCGTCTAGCCTGCCGCAGGTGAAAGAAGGCGGTTCTGCTCACAGCGGAGACCTGGGCCTCCATCATCAGCAGAGGGTCGAAAAAGACTCCCAGACTCTTGACCAATGATGACGGGCGTGGTGTCTCGCCATCCATGGTGGGCAGATGGATGTCCCCACTGCCCGGCCGACCCAGCCATAGGATCTCCGTCTTTGCTGGATTCACCCTCAACCTGCTGGCACGCAGCCATCCAGTCACGGCCTCGAGGCACTGATGGAAATAATCGGGTACAGAGTCCAGTTGGCCTTCCATCTTCAGCACCAGTTGAGTGTCATCGGCGTACTGATAACACTCCAGCCCAAAACCTTGAACCAGCTGAGCAAGTGGTCGCATATAGATGTTAAACAAGAGAGGGGAGAGAATGGCCCCCTGAGGAGGAACCCCACAAGAGAGAGGGGACCTCTCAGAGACCAGGCCTCCCCTCTCCACTCGCTGTCCATGAAAGGAGGACAGCCAGTTTAAAGCTCTCCCTCTGATTCCGACAGCAGCAAAAGATTGTGGTCGACTGTGTCCAATGCTGCTGTGAGATCCAATAACACAAGCAGCGCCGACCCACCCTGGTCAAGCTGGCATCGAAGGTGATCCGTGATGGAGACCAGCACAGTCTCTGTCCCGTGCCCCGCATGGAAGCCGGACTGGAAGGGATCTAGTCCGGCTGTGTCATCTAGGAATTGTTGCAACTGCTCCGCTGCTGCCCTCTCAATCACCTTGCCCAGGAACGAAAAATTCGAAACTGGGCGGTCACTGGAGGGAACATTGAAGGCGCAAGCACAACCCCCCCCCCCTCTCCCAATTGAATGTTTGCTGTATATGTGTTCTGTAATCTGCCCTGCGTCCCCTCAGGGAGATAGAGCGGAATGTAAATAAAGTATGTTGTTGTTGTTGTTGTTGTTGTTGTTATGTTGTACCTCACCTTGATCCCTGAGGGGTGGATAAAACTATTATTATTATTATTATTATTATTATTATTATTATAGAGGTCGCTCACCTGTGACTGTGCATTGACATTTGCCCCGAAGTTCACCAATTCCCGCACCACGTCCTCTTGCCCCGCAAGGGCAGCGATGTGCAATGCCGTGTTCCCTTTCTGTAATGGACATTATGTGGAAGGCAAAGAACAAATGCAATTTAACTTCACAGTACACATCTACACTATAGATTGCTTACATAGCAATTTAATGACAAACAACAAAACCAGGAAAACTTTTGGGGAAAGTGCTGCGAAGGCCTTCAGACACCTTTCTATCAACCTGCACTCAAAATTCCCTGGAGAGAGGAATAAGTACCACCATATTTACTTGAATCTAATGCTCAGCTTTTTTTTGGCTAAAGTTTTTGGCCAAAATTAGGATCCCTATTAGATTCGCATCATACGGTCGGTCATCTTAGTGCTGAGTCAAAGCAAAAGCTTTAGGAGCTGCACTTAACAGCTGCTATTTCAGGGATGTCATCTCTAATTTAATTGCCACGGCTCAGTGCTATGCGATCCTGGGATTTGTAGTTTGGTGTGGCATCAACATTCTTTGGCAGAGAAGGCTTGCAGCTTTGTAAAACTTATCAGAGAATTGACCCCTCCTCTAATAATAATAACTTGGCTGAGTCTCAGTGAAGTCCAGCCCCAGCCCAACCCCAAACATTCCTGGGAGGATTAATCTAATCATTTAAACTGGTTTGCTAGGATTCCCCCCAGGTCACAGGCAATGGCCCCACAGCCCTTATAGAGGTTTACATTGACAACACATTTTAGGGTTTCTCCTATGTCTTGATTCAAGGAGGAAGGAAAGATTTATTAATAAACAGAGACGGAAGAAGACTCACATATATACACAAAAACTGGGGTGGGAAGGACTCTATGCTTCTTTGGGCCTTACCTTCGTGGTGGTTTCCAGAACAATCTCCTTGTGTAGCAGCTCCGCCACCATCTTCACGTGCCCCTCTTTGGAGGCCAGGTGCAACGCATTCAACCCATTCTAGAAAAAGGAGAACATGCATGAGATTGTATTCCTCCCCTCGTGTCTTACAGGGCCTTCCAGAAGATTTAGGCAGGAAAGGAAATGGGCTGAAAAACCATGCAAAGGAAAATTGAAGACAGAGGTTTCATCCAGTTATAGTTTCCCAAGGTTCATATGCTTCTCTTGGTGTATTTACACTACGGAATGAATGCTCTTGTAGGGTAAAGGGAAAGGTTTTCCCCCGACGTTAAGTTCAGTCGTGTCCAACTCTGGGACTCTGGTGCTCATCTCCATTTCTAAGCCGAAGAGCCAGCATTGTCCGTAGACACCTCCAAGGTCATGTGGTCAGCATGACTGCACGGAGTGCCATTACTTTCCTACAAAAGTGGTACCTATTGATCTACTCATACTTGCATGTTTTTGACCTGCTAGGTTGGCAGGAGCTGGGGTTAACAGCAGGAGCTCACCCCGCTCCCCAGATTCGAACTGCCAACCTTTTGGTCAGCAAATTCAGCAGCTCAGTGGTTTAGCCCACTGCGCCATCAGAGCTCTCAAAAAATCTGGTTACCAGTATTTAAAACCACCAGAATCCAGACAGTAAATAAAAAACACTACTCGGCAACACGGGGAATTCCAGACAGCAAACAGTCAAGTGCCAGGTAACACCTCCCAAACAGAGGATGTCTCCAGGCAACAACAGCTAACAAATACCCTGACTTTGCAACTGCAAGACAACTCAATGCTAATCAAGCTTACTAATTGCAACATTCACACTTGCTTGACGTTAAGTTCAGTCGTGTCCAACTCTGGGACTCTGGTGCTCATCTCCATTTCTAAGCCGAAGAGCCAGCATTGTCCGTAGACACCTCCAAGGTCATGTGGTCAGCATGACTGCATGGAGCGCCGTTACCTTCCCGCCGGAGCGGGGTACCTATTGATCTACTCACATTTGCATCCCAATGAATGCTCTTGTACCCCTCTTTAAATACCATAGCTCCATACTATGTGCTCCTGGGAGTTATAGTTTTCTAAGGTCCATCCCATTCTCTGTGAGGCAGCCAAGAGAGGGAGGGAAGGAGACAGGGAGACAGCGCTGCTTTCCTTGAACCCTCTCTCCCTGTTTTCAACAACGAGTAGGGTCAAATCTCTGCAGCGTGAAAGAATACGGAAAGGAAACTGAGAGAAAGAAGGAAGAGAAAACATCGGTTTCATTAAAAAACCAAGTAAGACTGAGCTCTCTTCTGCTCTCCTCTGCCACACACTTCCCTGCCTCATGTGATGAAGTGGTGAGGCTATTGTACTCTGGACGCATTGTGAGACAACACAACTCAGTAGGAAAGATGATCATGCTTGGAAACATTAAACTTCCTAGGAAAAAATAAGGCTGTGTTACTGGCGCATTGACTCAGTCAATTGAGCCACGATCCTGAGTCTGCAGGACTGTGGCTATCATGACGTTCTCTCATTCGCAAGGTTGTCATAATTCAAAACTGACTTGATGACATGGAAGAATAACAATAAATGTGAAGCACAATGGCTGGGCGGACATTAATGTAAACATTGGTTTCAAATAATACCAGCGACATGTCTATTTGTCCCAATCGATCTCCAAACACTATATAATTTCATGCATTAAAGCAGTGTTTCTCAACCTTCCTCATGCCACAACCCCTTAAGATGGTTCCTCATGTTGTGGTGACCCTCAACCAGAACATTAATTATAATTTTGCTCCTGTTATGAATTGTCATGTAAATATCTGATATGCAAGATATATTGTCATTCACTGGACCAAATTTGGCACAAATTCTCAAATTTGAGCACTGGTGGAGTTGGGGGATTGAATTTGTCATTTGGGAGTTGTAGTTGCTGGGATTTATAGTTCATCTACAGAAAATACTGGAAGGGTTTGGTGGGCATTAGATCTTGAGTTTGGGAGTTGTAGTTCACTTACATCTAGAGAGCACTGTGGACTCAAACAATGATGGATCTGGACCAAACTTGGCATGAATACTCAATGTGCCCAAATGTGAACACTTGTGAAGTTTGGGGGAAATAGACCTTGACATTTGGGAGTTGTAGTTGATGGAATTTAGAGTTCACCTACAATCAAAGAGCATTCCGAACTTCACCAATGATGGAAATGAACCAAATTTGGCACACAGAACTCCCATGACCAACAGAAAATATTGGAAGGGTTTGGTGGGCATTAGACCTTGAGTTTGGGTGTTGTAGTTCACTTACATCTAGAGAGCACTGTGGACTCAAACAATGATGGATCTGGACCAAACTTGGCATGAATACTCAATGTGCCCAAATGTGAACACTGGTGAAGTTTGGGGGAAATAGACCTTGACATTTGGGAGTTGTAGTTGATGGAATTTAGAGTTCACCTACAATCAAAGAGCATTCCAAACTCCACCAATGATGGAAATGAACCAAATTTGGCACACAGAACTTCCATGACCAACAGAAAATTTTGGAAGGTTTTGGTGGGCATTAGACCTTGAGTTTGGGAGTTGTAGATCACCTATATCCAGAGAGCACTATGGACTCAAACAATGATGGATCTGGACCAAACTTGGCATGAATTCTCAATATTCCCAAATGTGAAAACTGGGGAAGTTTGGGGAAAAGAGACCTTGACATTTGGGAGTTGTAGTTGCTGGGATTTAGAGTTCACCTATAATCAAAGAGCATTCTGAACTCCACCAATGATGGAATTGAACCAAATTTGGCACACAGAACTCCTATGACCAACAGAAAATACTGGAAGGGTTTGGTGGGCTTTGACCTTGAGTTTGGGAGTTGTAGTTCACTTACATCTAGAGAGCACTATGGACCCAAACAATGATGGATCTGGACCAAACTTGGCATGAATACTCAATATGCCCAAATGTGAACATTGGTGGAGCTTTGGGGAAAATATACCTTGACATTTGGAAGATGTAGTTGCTGGGATTTATAGTTCACCTACAATCAAAGAGCATTCTGAGTTCCACCAACAATTGAATTGAACCAAACTTGGCACACAGAAAATGCTGGATTGGTTTTGTGGGTGTTGTCCTTGAATTTTTGAGTTGTACTTCACCTACATCCAGCATTTTGGGATTTATAGTTCACCTACAACCAAAGAGTCCCTTGAATGCTACCAACGCAGAGTTGGTGCAAACTTCCCACACAGAATCCCCAAGACCAAATAGAAAATATTGTGTTTTCTGATGGGTCTTTGACAATCCCTCTGACACCCCCCTCATGATTCCGCCCCAGGGATCCCGACCCCCAGATTGAGAAACGCTGCATTAAAGCAATCCTGTGATCCAGCAAGCAACCACAAGCTCTCTGCATGTATGTTAACACTTAAACTTTATTATTTCTTCTCAGCTAGATCCAAACATTTGAAAAGTAACTGTTTTTTCTCTCCCTGTTGTCTAGTGATATATGACTGATGCAAGATGTAAATGCTTGACCGCTGATGGTGATGATGATGAGGAGGAGATGGATGGGTGGATGGAACCCAGGCTGGTGAAGATGGCAACCGGATGGCATGTCACGGCCTGGCTCGGCTGTGTGTGAGGAGGATACAGGGCTTGTGGGCTAGGTCTGACCACACGCATCCCTCTTTTATCGCATACAGGACACGTGAGGTTGGACCTTGACCACAAGTGTGATGATGTTCCCCCAAGATGGAAAAGGCAAAGATGCGGTCGTGGGAGGATGGCGGGAAGGCGGCCCGGTCTTCGCAGCATTTCCCACGAAAGGTAGGCGGTCAAGGCAACTTGCGAGCTGCGGGGTAAGACGCACAATCTGATGTAGACGCAGACAAGGGTACAGAATCCAGTCACTCCAGATGCAGACACACAATGGCACAACATTATCCCTCTTGGCGCCTTCTCCCATCCGCTAACAATTATCCGTTGATGTTGCGTGCCTTCAAGCCAACTTATGTCAACTCTTATCATCGGGTTCGCACACAGCCCCAACTTTGGTGCAAACTTGGCACTAAACAAAACTGCAAATGTAAAACTCATGAATGTGGAGGGTGAGCTCTATGTACCTTATGCAGAGGGGCAAGGGGAGGTATTCTCAGGGCTTTTGTTTCCTGCGGCAAAAAGCAAATGGAAGGACTGCATCCTGCAATGAGAAGGTGGCCTGAATGCCATGTCAACATTGGCAACAAGGCTGCACCCTCCATCATGCTTGAAGTCAGCAGAGCAAATGATAGGGCCCAGCCTACTTTATCACAATGCCACCTTTCTGTTTCTCTGTATCCATTCTCTAGTATCTGCTGACTGAAACACTCATCTAACTTTGCCAAATGGCTGGTGGGCCTTAGCCAAAATGATTCTTGTGTCTCTCCTGTAGTTTCAGAATCATTGTGGAGGATTGACCTGCAATTCCCTTCTCAATGCTTTACCATTTTCAATGAAGGATATCCTAAGTCAGTGGTTCTCAACCTTTCTAATGCCGCGACCCCTGAATGCAGTTCCTCGTGCTGTGGTGACCCCCAACCAGAACATTATTTTCATTGCTACATACCAACTGTTATTTTGCTACTGTTGTGAACAATAATGTAAATATCTGATTTGCAGGATGTATTGGCACAAATACCTAATACAGCCAAATTTAAATACTGGTGGGGTTGGGAAAGGGATTGATTTTGTCATTTGGGAGTTGTAGTTGCTGGGATTTATAGTTCAGGAGTTGTAGTTCACCTACATCCAGAGAGCACTGTGGACTCAAACAATGAAGGATCTGGACCAAACTTGGCATGAATACTTAATATGCTCAAATGTGAACACTGATGCAGTTTGGGGGAAATAGACATTGACATTTGGGAGTTGTAGTTGCTGGGATTTATAGTTCACCTACAATCAAAGAGCATTATGAGCTCCACCAAAAATGGAATTGAACCAAACTTGGCACACAGAACTCCCATGACCATCAGAAAATACTGGAAGGTTTTGGTGGGCATTGACCTTGAGTTTAGGAATTGTAGTTCACCTACATCCAGAGAGCA